TTCTCAAATGGAGGAAAACATGTTCTTTTTTTATAGTGAGGATTTATTTAGAATTAAAAATAAGAGCAAAAATAAATGACCTAAGTAGAGTTAATCAATGAATGCAGTTAAAAATTTAATGGATTGATAAACTAAATTATACTTAGAAATGCAAAAGTTTACTTTTCACATTTCTACTTTTAAATCTCAGTTGTTTCATCCAAAGGTGTTGAACTGTCGTAAATTTATTACCCAAACAGATTTAAAAAATTTGTTTTTTACTGTGTTGTTCCTATTTCAATTAAGCTTTAATCTGAAAGGAGAAAGAAAACAGGAGATGGAAGCAATAGTGACCCTTCAACCTTTTCAATGACAGCTTCAAAAGAAATAAAAATAGTTTAATGTAGTTCCATAGAATTAGACAAACTTTATTGTCATTTTGTATATACTGAGTGTATACAAGACGACATTACGTTGCTTACAGCTTACAATGGTGAAATGAACATTACCATTATAAAGTGCAGCAGTGATCATTGGGTCAACAGTATAGGAGAAAACGAAAACTAGTTAAAAAAAATAATGGTGCATAAGGGCATTTTTAAGGAAAGGTTTAGTGCACTGCAAAATAAATATGGTGAAAAATGCACTATAACACTGAGTTGTGTCCTATTTTAAAGGATTATAAAAGTTTAAACCGTGTTGATAGTGTAAAATAATGTTGCAAGTGTGAGGCAGAGTCCAGTTTAGAGTTCAACAACCTTATGGCAGCGAGGGAAAAGCTGTTGCAGAACCTGCTGGTCCTGCAGCAAATGCTGCTTATCCTCTTCCCAGTGAGCAGCAGGGAGAACAGTCCATGGTGGAGGTTTGAGGTATCACTGATGATCTTACAGGCTCGGGACTCCATACTCCCATCTCTAACAACCAGGCACATCGTCAGCCTCTTTTTGTGAAATTGTGGGGACTTGGTGATAAAATGCATACACAGAACTTTGTGTGTGTGAATGTAGGAGCAAAAACACAAACCATTGAGTTGTTAGGGAGGGACTGGATAACTAATTAGAGGTGAACATGGAGTGATTAGAAAATTGTGTCACTTTAGACAGCTGATTGAAATTAGACTATATTTTTTATTTAAATTGTGACAGATGTTCCCAAGTACCGCAAATGTAAGCACGCTATCGCACTAGACGTAGCATTTTATGACTGAGATTGTTTCTACATTACAATTTAAAACAGATCAACACAGGCGTTTAGACAAAACTTTTTGAGCGTAGCAACCACTGGGGTCATAAGTTCCATATATATCATGGATTTGTGGATGTCAAAAGTTATATATGAGCATTTCATAGCATTTCAGAACAGCGGAGACACTTTACAGGGGCTTAAGCTCGACAGGTGTTTGTTGGAATTTAGTTACAGACTTATTAATGCAGATATATTATTATTACAGCTATTCTTGATTTATTTTTAATTAAGGCTCTGATAATAAAAAAGGCATTTTAAATCATTCCAAGTCTTCCACTGTTATTGTATGTGATGGAGAATCTAAATGTTCATGACGAGATCTGTTTTGACATCCAGACTGAGCCTCCACATTTCCATTGGCAATTATTTTTTTCTAGACGGACAATAGTCTCCAGCAAACATATTGTTTTGTCACATCCCAGCTTTCAACTCTTATGCGCTCTCTTCTCATGGGAACGTATTTGCCCCCTTGTTTATTTTTGTGAATTATGTGTGAGCCACAGCGCAGGGCTCATTTGAATCTGCGAGTCAGAGGGAGATTAAACTTAGGCTGTGTTTATTGTTTCCTATCGGGAGGCAATATGCTAACAGCAGATGCCAGTGGTCTTGCTGTGCCTTAGTTTGTTGGATCCAGAACACGTTTCTCACTACAAACCACCATAGTTGTGCCCAACTGGCACAGGCCGCAGAGAAAAAACCCTGTATTGTCGAGCCTTGAGCAGAGTGGTTCATTACACAGTTAGATCAGATAAAATCCCCTGAGATGAATATTCCCTGTTATCTTGAATAGGCAAGAAAGAGTGAACTGGTCATATCCGAGGTAATATGTATTAATAACACATAATAGGATGTCAGTGGCTTTGGCCTATTTTATTTCCTGTAAAGTAGGGAATTATTTTCTACATCAGCTGCTTCATATTGTTTTTAGGGCAAAAATCTCTTATATCCATGCATGTGGGCTTGAAAACACGCTCTGCCCTTTAAACTTAATGATTATGCTAATAATATAAGCTGTCTTAAGTCACGCATGACATTATGTTGGTAGACTTTTCTTAGCATTTCAGACTACTTAAGACATTTTAAAAACCCTATTAAGGTGTGGGTTATTAAAGAGAAGCCATGCATTAAAACTCTTTTCATAAGGTGAACATGGCTGTTCTGACTGTTCCTCTAATCTGAAGCCTAACCCTCTGTATTACCGTACCAATATATTATTAGTTATGTTTGACTTATTTTTTGGCAGTTTAATGGGTTTATTTTTTCAGCGTTTTGCAGATATTTTAAGTTAGATGTAACCATGTGAAATATAATCAAGTCGTTTATACAGTATTTTTATCTTTTCTGTTAAACTTCTACAACAACCAAATATGAGTCATTTTCCCATGTTGAGCCTGCTTAAATATAGATCTATGTGCCCTGTTTTGATAGGGTCAACTATACTTAATGTGGGAGGTGTCAACCTGAAAAAAAATTGAATGTGACTTTCTAGGGCTTCCAAACAGTGGATTGAAAGAAATAAGTAATACAAATAACTGTAATAACTGGTATTTGTTGAAATTGGACACACTGGACAGATTGCCGTTCCAATACATCGAAACACAGAGATACATGTTTCACAAATTAATTGAGAAAAAAGACGTCAGATTTTTTTTTTTCTTGCTATTAAGACAACCGAGCAACTCAACAACTAAATGATTTCTTATTTCAAAAAAAAAGTCTCAAACATAAATTCAGAGCATTGAGCTTTAAGGAGATATCTTGATATCCAAGGCATCAATAATAGCATTGATTATCTTTACACGATGTGTCACATGCTGCAAAATTTCACTTATGATATTTAAATATTTTGAAATATCTTGTGCGAGATATATCAGATTTTACCCATACTGGCTTTATCGCTAATACTGTAATAAAGTTTGAATGTTAGACACAGCTAACATTGTCTAAAAAGATAATATTAACGTGAATAATTGTTTTAGAACACAATATTTAAAGGTTAAACTACGTTTGTCCAAAAATAAGTAAGCATTGAAGCAATATTTTGTTAGCTTTGATTTTGATTTTGTGCTTTAGTGCATAGTTTGTGTCCGTGTGCATTGAAATGCAATATATCGGATAGGCCAATGATGTTTATTTCAAGTATAAAAGTTTGTTTTCCACATGCTTTTCTTTGTCATACAAAAGACGTGGTACAAATGGGAGGGGCTTTTAACAACCATATAAGCAGCAATGTAATTGTTATCCAGTTTTTACTCTGTGTTGCACATTTTTAAAGCTGATCATAACATTATAGATATGAAGGGAAAGTGGAAGTTTAAATGGGGCCTAAAGATGCAGATAATTATTTATATATAACTTTCATCACGCCTGGCTCTGGTTTTTAACATCTTAAAAAGCCAAACCCAGCAATGACCTACGTCAAGTTTTTTTTTTTTTCAATTCCAATATGTTTTCTTTAATTTTTTTTCTAAAATTTTAAAAATTATTTCAGCTAATACTTTTACCTTAACTTATTATACCTAAATTGGAAAAATAAAGACAATCTGCAAAAATATCTGCAACAAGGCACATTAAAAATGTTTATTGAAGATGAGTTCCCCCTTAAGTTAGCATGAAAAAATATTATAATAATACTAATTATAGTATGATCCTCATTTCATTAGATGATATAATAGACATTTAATGAGGCTGTTACATCTGCTGACCTTCCTCTAATGGGAATGAAATGCAACTGTTTATCCAGAAGAAACTTACAAAGCTGTTCACTTCAACAAAAGAATTAGCCTGCCTTGTTCAATATATCCTTAATTAAAATTCTCAATTGTAACTTATAACACAGAAACAAAAGCTATGTGGAGACTTTTTGTACTGCCTTAAATAGACTTTTTTGAAATATAAGTATTGATAAATTGCCTGAATATGTGGTCATTTTATTTGGGAGCAGCCAACAATGTTAACCATTAGAGCCACTGATGCACTAAATAGCATCTGTCTGCTGCACTTTTGCTATTCCGAAACTCCTCACTATTCATTGCACATCTCTACCACACTAAACATTCACTGCACTCATTTGGTTCTCCACAACAAGAAAAGAGACTCGCCCATAATGGTGGCCGTGTAAAGCAGAGCTTTGCAAAAAAAAAAAAATTGAATATCTTGGTATTAGGCTATATTTTTTAAGAGATCTGCATCATAGTATTTGGTCATTTCATTAGTATTTATACCTTGTGCACTTCTTCAGTTTCTGTCACAGGACAAACATGAATGACATGAGTCTGCCTACTATTTGTCTACCTACCAGCTTAAAAACATACCATATGAAAATATTAAACAGTGTGGTAGGGGACTGACGTTACTCTCATTCCTATAAATAAGTTTTATTTGTAACAACAATGAACAACAACACATGCTGCAGTAAAACATTAAAATTCCTAAATAAACCTGAACTAATATCCCATCGTTTTGATGTTTAGCCTATTCACTCTATGATGGGTTAGAGGTCCCTCTCTCATCTTGCAGAGAAATGTTTCCTGTGTTATTTGGTCTCTAAAGTTTGTTGGAAAAGGCTGTCAGAACGGCTGACGTACTGCAGTGGATTGCTGTATTCATTAACTTGCTAAATAAGTTAATTTTTACAGCCGACATTTGCTGAACACTCACGCTCTGTGAACATTTTCTGCCCAACAGTCCCAACACAGCCTTAGAAAGTTTTATCACCTATGTCAATAGAGTCAGCACACAATAAATTGTGTCTGCTTGGTGTGTTTACTGAACAGGTCCATCTCTAGTGGGAGCTGTAAAGAAGGACTGGGCTTCTCCAAACAGCATTGCTCTCTCCTGGCAGCAACCTGAGGAAACAACGATTCCCATCATTGACTATGAAGTCAAATATTATGAGAAGGTAGACAATCCCACTGAATACAATTACAATGGCAGATGGTCTAATCTTTATGCTGAATAAATAACTGTGTGCTTCTTTTGCATGACAAGTGTTGTGGCATTCACCTTCATTATTAAATGATTAAAGCCGTGGTTTCCAAAACTTTTCCTTCTTTGATTTAAGAGAAGGTTTTAACCAATATTTTATATAGTTAAACAATTAAGAGTAAACTGCGGTTTAGTTTTAGTTTTCTCTATTAAATCACCTTTTTTGTAATTACCTATTAAACTTGCTGGTGAAGAGTCTCAGTCATCCAGGTCATAGTCATTCAAAAAAACAATGTTAAAATAAAATCCACTGGGCTTTGTTTCCAAGTTTCAATTCAAAACATGCATTTTTTTCAAAACAAATACAAGGTTTTGATGGGCTATGGTATAAAACCTCGAACTCAATGATATTCCTGACATTTTGAATTGAAAAAAGCTTCCTGGATAGGGGTGAACCTTCTTCAAACTCGAAAACAAAGTCGAGTGGATTGTTTTTAACTTTCTTTTTTGGCATACCTCTTAACCTTGCATTAACTGAGATGAGTTCTACCGATCCATGCATGTGCAGGGCAAAATCCAAACGTTATTACAAAATCATTGCCCATGTATTGTATTTTCTTGTGATTGGCTGAAACAATGGAATGATCTAATGGTTGAAAAATCATTGCTTGTTAAAAAAAAAAAAAAAAGCTTTTTTGTATCCAGGCACAGCAGGGGAGTCTCAAAGATCCACACACAAATTAATCTTTGAAATAACATTCAAAGACCATTGGTACGGTAGTTTGTAAATCAAGATATAATTGCATATGCATCACAAATATTGTTGTGAGTCTTGTCTTATGAATACATAAATTATGTGTGCTTGTTTGAATCATCATGTGCATGTGTGGATCTTGTCTTGTTCATGCATGGATCTTGTGCTGTGTATTTCTGGATATTGGGACTCTTTTAGCTCTATACTACCGTCCTCCGTGCACTTACACCGAGCTTCCCTTAGGTGTGTGCCCCCCACTATAGAAACCACTGGCTTAAGGTCAAGTTAAAGAGAAAGACATTTGAATAGCTTTAATTTGTTTCAGCACATGCAATAAGTATCCTTAAAAAACTCATGTCTTCCTCCTGCTGACATTTTTATTTTTGCTGAATTGATCATTCATCTATAGCATTTCAGTACAGTTCGATTCTGCGATGTACAAACAAAACATCACGAAAAAGTGGTTCTCATCTTTAACAAATTGTTTCTTTGTTTCGAATGTCATAAAAATCGGTGCATCAGCTGCAATCTGCATATCCCTTTACAACACCAGTAGTTGTCTGGCTACATAGTGCAAAGTGGGCCTCAAGACAAAAACAGACGAGAAGGTGCAGCAGCCATCACCATTCTGTCCTTAATGAAGGTCAATATAAAGTCTGGAAATTATTCAGATTTTTCAGGACAAATCCAGATTTGTAGCAACAACCAAATAGCGTACACTGCCTCTTAGAACGAGCATGCACTGTACGATCTGACTGCTCACACTGTACATCCAAATACCTCACATCGGACTCAGTGCCATAGAGAGATGGCGTATGTCAGACTCGATTATCCAGAAGTAATGTTAGAGAAGAAGAATTCCCTTGTTTGCACATGCACAATGCACAAGGTTGAGATAAATTGGCTTGCAGCTCCAAGAGCAGGATGCTCTTATGATCTTATTTGGAGGGCATACTGAATTTCAAAAGCATTTCAAGAGCATCAAGGATCCTCTTAACGCCCGTCTGACCTTAATGTGTACAAGCTTCCAAAATGAAGCAGGAGGCGCTTTTTTGCTGCCCAAACACATCCAGTGTGAACATAGGATCAGAGCCCGTGTTGCGATACGAGGCTTATATAAGACTTTTACATTTTGCTGGTGCAGGTTCTCAGTCATCCAGGTCATAGTCATGTTTTTTTGGAACTTTTACATTTATGCAGCTCCAGGCAGATTTTTTGTTTTGTTTTGTTTTCTCCAATAAGGCTCCGTGAAAAGTTTAGGTTTCTGTCCCCAAGCCTCGGGTCTAGAACAATGGTCATCAGTATATTAAAAGGACAAAATAAGGTAGCCCGCAACTGCAACCCACTGCAGCAGCCAGACCTCTGAAGGATCAAGGTGGGGCACATTAGCATTCCACCTAATGAGCTCTTAAGAGGTCAACAGGACTTGATACTAGGGCCCAGTGCAGCCCCTCGCTGCTGACAGCTGGCCAAATTCACCAGATGGGAGCCCATGACTCCAGGATGTGGCCTGAGCACCAACAAAAGCTCCCCACTAGCCTCTCCCTTGATGTTGTCAGAAACAAATGAGAGGAATTTCAGTGTCTCACTGTTCAGCTGCTTCTCTGTAACATCACAGAAAGTGTTTATTTTCTGTTTGCCACAAATAAAAAAATAAATGCATACAGAATAAAGTGTCCCATTAAGAGTTTTAGAAGGAGTTTGAAATAAAATCAATCTATTTCTAATTGTTAAGGACTAAGCTGTAATGAGTATTTTATAACACAATGGCTAGACAGAGCCTTTGGGATCATCCTGCCTTAAAATGGAGCTTTTCAGAAGACGGGCAACTTGTGCATTCAGATTAAGAAAAACATTGCTTTTAAAGCAGTAGTAAAAGCCACAGTATGCATGGGGCTACTTTAAGAAGTTTAAACTAAAGGTTTTTGCCATAAATGTTGCATTGTCTTGATGTGAACATCTTTATGAAGTAATAAATAAGCTTCAGAGCTTGCAAAATATCAAATTATCTCATATACTGTGTAGACCCTTGAAATATTTATATATTCTTATAAAAAAGAAGTTAGATGTTAACAATACTCATTTCTACAGGGTTATTTCCCCCTGAATTCATTTTTAGTTTGCGAATTTAACTTTGCAGTATTGCCTGCAATTCTAATGAAGTATGCCTTCTTCAATCTAACGTCTCTCAGACATCTTCTACCTTGCTATTCTCAGCAACAATTATTATGCAGAACATCTGGTCATGTGTTTGTTATAAAATTTTGTGATGCAATTATCTCTTCCCTGTCATTTGTGTTACGAAAACGGATCAGAAGGCAGACTTGAACGCAGCCTAGAAGGCAGTTCTTGTTGTCGCTCTGGCAATCAACATCTGTCACTGAGCTGCAGTGAATGCAACAGTAATTTGACTAAACTGTTTATTATGAGTTTTATTAAGGTAAACTTTGGTAGAAAAAAGCAAGGATTGGTTGAAATGACCAAACTGATTAAGATTACTGTCCCTTGTTGAGCATTTAAATCTGACTAATACATCTCTTTTTGGATAAGTTAATTAGTATTCTTCTTTCACTTTATCTTTTAGGAACAAGAACAGTTAAGCTACTCCTCCACACGCACCAGGGCTCCCAGTGTCATAGTCTCAGGTTTAAAACCAGAAACCTGGTATGTCTTCAGTGTTCGGACCAGAACAGCCGGTGGATACAGCTCCTACTCTCCAAGATATGAATACCAAACTACAGGTGACTGTGAGTAAATACGTACATTCTGTTTTTATATAAAAAAATAAACCTGGAGCATCTTCATATTTTCATTTTCGCTTTTCTTTGAACTATGTGATTAAACGTTTTTTACTCTCCGTTTTTTTGTTAATGTACATCAATAAAGAAATAGTTCTGATCAGGGGTAAAAGATTTAACATGGATTTAACTTTGGACAAAACCACAGCTCTTGGATAGAAATGTTGTTTTATTATTAAAAAAACCTCCCAATTTTTGTAATTTTCTAAAGTCATAGGTACTGTGGAAGGTACAGGCTGTAAACAGCAGTTCAGGGTCAAATGAAGTTCATCCTGCCTGGAGGAGCATCCAGGGTGCTCACAGCTTGAAGGTCAAGAATAATAAATTTGTACTCTGCAGCTGAGATCATGGATCAGCTTTCTAAGGTCTGAGTAACTTTAAAAAATATAATAAAATCTGGAAAAGATGTTAAACAAAGAAAATAATTGATGAAATGAGGATAAAAGGATAACTGTCACTGACTTATAAATAAAAACAACACATCAGTTTTAGCACTGCAGCACAGCTAGCTGTATAGGTAGGTGGAGACCAAAAATTGTTAGATCTTACTTATACTAGATTTTTTATGCTCTCTCCTCTAAGGAAATAGAAATCCTAAAAAACTTTTACTGATAGATTGGGAGGGATGAGCTTGGATACTGTGGTGCCTATGCTCAGCGTCAGTTGTACCACAATTTAGTAACCTTTCTAGTGCTGACATTAGTTTTATGAAAATCCCACATGACATTTGTTAGACAGTTTTATTTCTTGTGATGATTGCATAACTTCAAAATCCTTGTTTCTTATCACTTTCCTGTTAAAGGTTTGCTTTTTAATGAAAATCAGTCTATAAGATACTCCGTATCATTCATTGTGCTACTAAATTTTTTAAGACTTTAAAATTCTTTGCTTGTACTGTATAAGGAAAGGTAATGCTATCAAAGTCATTTGTTAATTCACTACACTATAACTCATAGTGAGAGTACAATGAGACAACAAACTTTGAAGAATGGTTAAATTGGTTTCGGTTGAAAATTTAATGTAGCTTCACTTGCTTAGATACTGACTAGGCTTTCATTCTTTACTGGTTAACTGGTTTCCAGTTTTACTGATGTTTTTTTTATTTGAGGTTGAAAAAAGAAATTCACTCTTGTTACGTTTATATATTATTTTAATGAGAATCCGGAAAAAATTCCAGAGATTTTGTTGGTTGTATCGGACATTAGAGTGGCCATAAAAGAAAGATGAGGTTCAAAGCCATGGAGATAGAGGTAATACTGATAATTATTAAAGAAATAATAATGATAATTCAAAAAATATTAATAGTGCACCTCACCTCTCACCTCTTAAAGCCCAGAATCTCTCCATCCTCTTGTCATTTTTTAAATGCCTCCTTTGTGGCAACAAAACACAGATTTTGTTTTGCATCTTAGTTTGCACCTAACTCTCTGATGTACTTAGACTCCAAAAACGCAGCCGTATTTGAGTTTCCGATTTGGAAAATTGTTTGTATGTAGTACATGTTTACATTAACATATCTTCCAACAATAAATTAGGGCGGTTTGATCATACGTGGTCTTAATCTGCATGTTGATTAAGTCACACATGCAAAAAAGTTTTGCACACACTATCTGCTGAATTTCGAAAGTAAATCACTTTGCACCTTCTTCATATCTGTGTATGTACACAGCTGAGAAAGCATCATAAGATAAATCTTTTAAGCAGAGAATATTAGGACTGTTTTCTATATCTCTGATCATATTTGTTCTTATTAAAGACAGATTAATTACTCTTTACACAGATAGACCTCCGGTTATTCTGGAGATAATTTGATTTGGTGTAAATCTTTAACCCCCCAGCATTACTTAAAACGGGAATCTAAATAGAATCATCAAGGGAAACCTATACCACCCCTTTTCTCTTCGGTGCATTATTTTGTCTATTTGCTTTGTGTGTGTATTTTATTTTCAGCAGTGGCTTTATTGCACTCTCATAAAATACAAAGGTCCAGCTGCCCTTTCATGTTGGGTCAGGTATTATTGAGTAAGAGGTGATTTGGCTTCACAGAGGCCCTCGGCTTCCAAAGCTGCAGAGTTTGGCTTTATCCGCTGATCAGAGGCTGCATGGCCAAGCCTTTGTACTGCCTGGCCTTTTATCTGAAAGAGGAGGCAGCTTTGGCCTGTGCAGCTCTCTCTTTCTCCATCACTCTGTCTGTCCACCTGCCAGTCAGCGTTGCTGCACCCGTTTTCTCCAGATGCACAAATTTCTATCACTTTTCCTTTTGTCTTTACATTGTCATCTGTTTTTGCCACCTCCTCTCTCATTTTCTAGACACACAGCACTCATTCCAGCAGTCAATCTAACACATATTTTAACATGTGAAGACAGTGTTACGCAGAAGAGCTGTCAGATGTGATCTGACCACCCTCACTTTCACTCATCTTCCACCCAGAAATTGTGTAAATTATTTTTATGAAGGGAAAGGGACACATTTCATACACATGCCTTCCATGCTCTCTGCATTACACCTACATGCACCCACACAAGCTTTAATCACCATGCTCACCACCAAGCTCCACGTTCTCCAATTCATATTCATTAAGCGTGAAATATTAGAGAAATAAGTTTGGTAATAGCAATCATCTTTCAATTATCTGGGATTCGTTAGCCTTCTGACAAGACACAGAAAAAGGAAAATCATGAATATCAAATAGGCCCAATTTTAACAAATCATCATGGACTAAATCACAATTTCATGAATGAATAAAATTAATTAACCAGCAGCAGGCAAATGAATCATTCCAGCACGAAAAAGCTGACTTTTATTTTCTTTGGCTCCACAAAGAGCTGATCAAACATCTCTCAATAATGCCTGCCTATCAAAGGAAAGTGTATAGTCTATAACTGGTATATCTATTTGAAAGATTATTATGATGATGTGAAATAAAAGAAAATATTTTTTCTCTCCTCTCCTCATTTCCTTCCCTTCTGATTTTTTATTCTCTTTCTTTTTTCTTTTTCGTAAAACTCCTGTTCTTTACCCCACATTCTTGTTCTCCCGTGGCACAACTCTCTTGTTATCAACCTATTTTTGTTTCTTGCATTTGCTCATTCCCAAACATGTTCAGCCTCAGACATCGCGTCCGATCAGGGCCAGGTCTTGGTCATTGTAACAGCTGCAGTGGGTGGTTTCACTCTTCTAATCATCCTCACCCTCTTCCTCCTCATCACTGGAAGGTAAGATGAATTACTTTTTACCTTAATTTATAATAAAGTAACTTTGTTGCATGGTTTACTTTAGGTCTAATACCTTGAATTCCAATAAATAAGCTTGAAAAGCAGTTTATAGAAACTTGCATGGATAAATTATGCAAAATCTTTTTTTTTTTTTGTTTAAAATTGTTTGGTTGTTCTGGGTTTCTTTGGTTTTACATCTGCTTAGCATTGCAAAACAGCAAACTGAACTTTTTATCCTTAGTGATTGTGATCTAAATTTTTCCATTTTATTTCTCAAACCATGTTTAGTAATAGAACCACCTGTACTGTATTCTGTGCATTACTACTGTGAACTGAACCTGCCCTCCAATTTTGCAGCTTATAGATTTTCTTTAATTACATGTATTTAAATTAATCCAGAGAAGCCTTTAATGTCCCGGCTACAGGATAGGAAAAAAGCATTCCCTCATCATAATGCTGCCACCACCACGTTTAACTGTGTGAAGGGGTCATGATTTAACTAAGGTCCGACCCAAAAAGCAGAAAAACCAATACAGAGAGAAACCAGGGGGAAGTTTAAACAGGTTTATTGAGGGGATTGTGAAGAATCCAGTGTTGCTCTGAACACTGCTCAACCGGAACTGGAAAGTGAGGGGAAGACACTACGGTTAGTTCATGCTCAGTGGGAAACTTGATTCTCGAACTTGAAGAATAGAAATACATTGTAGACTCACATTTCCAGATAAGTGGTTGACTCTTAACTCCAGTCGGTGTGGGGTGTTCCAGTGTCGGTCTCATTTGATGGAGGGCGGACAGGGTTTACCCAGAATGCGGTTGTTTGTCGGTGAACGGAGAAACTGACTGCCACTTAGATTTTCTGTGGTACTTGAACAGGTTGTTGTGGAGATGAATCCTCAGCTCAGTTTGAAGCTCAGATGATCCTTCCAGGGAGAGAAGGTCCAGAAAACATCGAGGTAGTGGCAGTCAGCAGCTTAAGAGCACTCCGTTAACGAGGTAACCCTCCGCAGGTGTGTGAGGAGGCGAACCAGGCGCCTCCTGGTGGAGGAAGGGAGACAGGCACAAAAACACAAACCACACAGACAGGAATCCTAACAGAAGTGTGTGTTTATTTTGATTTCTACTGTTCTTTTCCTACCACAAATATCGTTTTGATTCAAGACTAGAGTGTTAAATATTGATCTTATCCGACCAGGTATCCTGACCTGTGGCAAACTGCAAATTTCTTTCAACAATGGCTTTTGTTTTTTATTACATGAGTGCCACCTTGCTTCACCTCAGCAGGTCCTAAGGAGTTACCATGGGTCTTCCAATAGTTTCCCCTACACTGCAAACAAAATCTAGAAATAAGTCAATATTTCTTAAATTAAGTGTATTTACCCTCAATTTGAGCAGATAGATAAGATAATTTTCCAGTTCAACGAGTATTTTTATTCTTAGAATAAGACAATTAGATAATATGCACTTGAAATAAGACATTTCAGTTGTTTTTTTCTTATTTTACATGTGAATTGTCTTGTTCCATTGGCAAATTGTCTGATGTATCTCATCAATTCAAGGAAAATGCACTTATTTTAAGAAACAAATTACTAATTTGAATTTTTTTTGCAGTGTACTAAGCCCATACCTTCCAAAATGGTGGACAACCTTTTTTAATGTGTTTGCAGCAGTGCCAGAAGATGGATTCATCAGTGCTTTGCAAGGTGTTCATAGCATAAGATATTGCTTTATAAACTTACACCACCTTAAACATCTTTATCTTTATCCCTGAGCCAACTGTCATCACAATGCTCATTGATCTCTGATCTTCTAAAACATTTAAAACCTCCTTCACAGAACTATGATGTACTCTAAAGGTAGACTACAACTAGATTCTAATAAATAAATAATATGTTGTTTCTGAACGTTATTGAATAGATTTTTCTTAGTATATCAGTGAATTCAAAAGCAGACTATACTTTTCGGAGTAATGGTCCAAACAAAATGTTGGAATCCACATATCATTTTCATTCTACTTCCCAGTTATATTATACTTTTGGTTCTTCACTTACACAAAATCTCAGTAAGTAGTAGAAGTATTACTTGACAACTGAAACAACATCTGGAAACACCATGTTTCAAGCTTACATTAAATCTCTTCCTAAATATTTCTAAAAGCTGCAGAATATTTACACGAGCAAAACCTTTTTCTAAAGCCTCCTTCGAACCCAAAACATAGAGTTTACAAATAATTGCTTATGTTTATGTCTCAGTCCTGTGCTGTGCCATGTTTCCATGTACTGAACTCAGCCTGACTGTTAACTTGAAAGACAGTCAATATACTAAATGATATAATATATTGCTCTAACAAACTTACAGGTTTTATGCCTCTACTTTAGAAAGAAGAAAGGGCATTAATTTATAGTACAGGAAGCAGACACACAGGTACATAAAAACTCGGAACAGGAGAGGTAAATCTGTCAAAGCGCTTGAATCAAATCCAAGTGCAGGCACCCCAACTCACCCCCCCTGCATATACCGCCAATCTATGTAAAGATGTGATTTGCAGCTGACTGTGTGAGGGGGGTGTCAGAACCATCTCACTTTATTTCAGAGGTGTGAATTTGGTGTGAAGATTGGTGAATAAATTATATGTCATTTCAGTGATAAAAGTTTGGACAAAAATAAATGTAGTACCATCAATCCAAACACATAGACTCATATATGCTTTTTTTTATTTCTGTTTAACTGCATAGCACTATCTACAAAGTGCAAAAATGCAAACAAATAAATTCATATAATCTATGTAATTATAAAACAATCTGCTGTTTTGTGATTTTAAAAATTAAATGCAATTTTTATTGTCTTTTTTTCCAGCTATGTGGCAATTTGCTCTTGTTATCACCCCCCAGAAAAACATGGAAGATATTTTCTCTTCTTGACTAAAACCCATTTAAAAAATAGAAGAAAAACCAATGAAAAAAGTCCAGATCTGAATAGCAGAATAAGCTTTGTTACCAGTTCCCAAAATTGTAGCAAGCTTTTTTGTACTCTGATTGTACCAACTCACTACAATTACACCACTGGGCTGTTCATTCTTTTCATTACTTTTCTTATAATATGCAGACCATTCTGCACCGGACCCTCATTAGGGAGATAATATTTCAGCAGGGGTTTTATGAGACACATATTTTTTCATTTTCCCAGTAAAAATAGGGGAATCAGGGAAGCGTCAATCAAGCCTCTGAAGAGATCTAATCATGTAAAGAGAGTGAAAACACCTATGTGGGTGGTAAAAGAGTTTTCAGGGTCTCCAGGTTCAGAACATGTTCAAATTGTTGAACATTCAAATTTCAATATGGGCACATATGAATATTTAACACTCTAAGATTAATTCAAACAAGCTTCCCCTACCTTCTAAAAATTCATAACTATTCAGTGTAATAAATGGTTGTCAGTTTTTTGGGAGGGAAGGTTAGGTTGGGAAGTCTATTGCTGGGAAAATATGATGTCTGTCCTGTATTGAACCTCTAAATCACTTGTTTATAATGATTTTTAATAGTTTTAACCCAAAAGTTTCATAACATAATTAATCTATTTAAACCATTTGTTATTCAGAATAGAGGAGTTATAAAAATAGTTTCAATGTGCTTTGAAAATAAAAATGTTTGTGCAAATTTCAAGTCAGGTTTCACCTCCACAATAATGTGTTGACCTTTGTCCACACCCTAACCATATAGCTATACTGTATGTTAGACATGAAAACTTTAGGAGTTGTTCCTCTCCACTGTCGCTGCATGCATGCTCAATGTGGATCAATGACACAAGGCAAGCAAAAGAATTCTGTTGCTTCATGCCCATCCTGGAAAATTCAATGACTTAATGCGATCAACTGGGTTTCCTTAAACTTTTATCCAGGATATCTGTGAAATTGAATGTAATCGTCTCTGTAAAATGCCTTGAGATGACATGTGACATGAATGGTGAATATTGAAGACTTTGAAAGTAGCTCAGCTCTAACTCTTTATAAGGCAAGTTACCGTTTTTGATCACAGGACAAACCTGTCACTCAGTGAGGTCCAGAAGCACAAGATCTATATCCAGCCATTCAGCAAAGATACTGCTACATAGCTGTACATCTTATTTTGGCATTTGACCAATTAGATGAGCCCTTGAATGATATATTACTTTCTGTAAATTAAGTTGAAGAAAAAGTTAACAGGCCAAGAAAAAAAAAGGTAAAAAGCTAATTAAAAAGTTCAAAAGTTAAAAGGCCTAGTTAAAAATTATATTTAAGTTTATAAACAAAATATTAGTGCCAGTATCAGCATTAATGGCTCTAAGGTTATGTTGGGGGGAAAAAATGCGTTTTGTTCACCCTCAGTGTTTTTTAATTTCTTACAGCGTTTATTTTTATTACATTAACATTCATTCTTGCCATCAAAATATCCATATTTTTTTTAATGTTACAAAGGTAATAAGGTCTTATCCTGGATTCCAATAACACTGGTTGCTTGAAATTTAGATTTTCAAAGTATTGCGCTGAGAGCCCTATAAAGGGTTAAAGGTTTTCTTTTGTACATTTTTACATGCTGTTTTAAATATTAGTTTAAAAACAGTTTAATTAATCTGTAATCAGTCTCTTTTTTTGCTTTGTTGAGTTGCTCAATTATTTGAACTTTTATTTTAGTGTTTGAATACAAATTAAAACCATCCTCACCTTCAAAAGAGCTACTGAGAAAAAGCATCTGTTCAATTTTAATATAATGCATGTTACTGTACATGTGTAACTGGTGAACCATTTTTAGTCATGGAGAAAAATAGAAT